GTGTGCAATTCAATCTCCCTCCAGCCTCTCAAGGGTGGCTGTTTTCTGCTCCCTACCCCTCTGGGTGGGGGGTGGGGAGGGGGTGGGATGGGTTACCTTCTCGCTCACTCCTATCTATAGACCATTCTCTCTCCTTTTTCTTAGCTTCATCCATCACTTTGAATCTAATGTTGTTAGACAGTACCATTCACTGCTTTCCAAGTTAATATCCTCTACCAACCTCCAGGTCTCTTTCTCAAAACTCCTTGAAGACTATTATTGTTCCTGGTTCTCACCAACACTATTTTGGTCATATATTTTGGTGATTTTTTAAAAAAGATTTTATTTATTTATTCATGAGAGACACAGAGAGAGAGAGAGAGAGAGAGAGAGAGGAAGAGACACAGGCAGAGGGAGAAGCAGGCTCCATGCAGGGAGCCCGATGAGGGACTTGATCCTGGGACTCCAGGATCATGCCCTGGGCTGAAGGCAGGCGCTAAACCACTGAGCCACTCAGGGATCCCCTATTTTGGTGATTTTTTAAAAAAATATTTATTTATCTATTTATGAGAGAGAGAGAGAGAGAGAGAGGATGAACAGAGGGAGGGGCAAACAGAAGCAGACTTTTCACTCTGCAGGGAGCCCTATGTGGGGCTCCATTCCAGGACCCCATGATCACGACCTGAGCCAAAGGCAGATAGATGCCCAACCAGCTGAGCCACCCAGGTGCCCCCATTTTGGTGATTTTGATCACCTTGGGTACAGTCCATCCAATGCTTTGGCCCCTCATTTCTATGAGATCTTTTTCTCCAGTGATCTTGTTTTTTTTATTCTATTATTCCCTCCCCTGGTCTTACCATGGACTTTGACAGTAGCATTATAGGCAGTCCTTCCACACCCTCAGTTTCAAGCATCCCACTCTTGGATCCCCACCTCTTATCTTTTTCAGGGCACTCTTCCAATTATCCTGCTTCAACAAACCTGAGACCTCCCTGGAACCTTCAATCTCTTAATCTTACAAACCTTACAATGTTGCTTACATCCCACTTGTCCTCCCTTTCCTTATTACTTATTTTAAGTTTCATGGTCATTTAATTGCTCCCTTGCACTCATCTTCAACTCTCTTCAACTCCCTAAATTTTCATTTCTTACATGATAGTAATATTTTGGTAAAGCCTCAACCCTGATTAAAATAAATTTTTTCCACCTACTTTATGCTGTAAGCATGCAACTGAAGAAAAATGCTCAACCATGCTGACTAGTCTCAGTTGAAATTCACAGTCATGAATCTCATATGGGTCCTTACTCTTCCAGACAACTATTTTTTTGTACCTTATCTTCCTTCCTCAGACCTGAACGTCTCTTCCTCTATATTATTAATTGATTCCTACTTGTATTAGTTATCATTTTTCTGTGTAATGAATTATCCCCGAATTTAGTATGTTAGAAAAACAAACATTATCCCACATAGTTGCTGGGTGCGGAGTCTGGCTCAGGGTCTCTTATGAGGTTGCAGTCTAGCTGTTGGCCAAGACAACAGTTTCTGAAGATTTGACTGGGGCTGGAGGACCTACTTTCAAGATCATTCAAAGGGCTGTTGGCAGAAGTTTTCAGTACTCAGTCATGTGGGCCTTTTGATAGGGCTACTTGTGACATAAATGGCCTCAGAGCAAGTGATCTGAGTGATAGTGAGAGCAAGAGCAAGAAAAATGACAGAGAGAGAACGCAGCATCTTTTACAACCTAATCTCTGATGGCATATACCATTACTTCTGCCATATTCTATTGATTACACAGACCAACACTGGTACAAAGTAAAAGGGGACTACACAGGGTGTGAAGACCAGGAGACCATGAGAGGCCATCTTGTAGGCTGGCTACAATACAATTTTATAGAGAAAATGAAGCAGTCGGAAGAGAACTTCTACAAGTTGCCACCACTATAATACCCAATTACCAGTGTATAGTCTACTTCACTGGTATTGTTATAATGAACCTTTCTTCCTGCTATCTGAGGCCAATCCTTCCCCTTGTTCACTAGATCCCTTTCCTTCTGGTCCACTTAAGTTCATAGATGCAAACGGTCTCCCATCTCCCTCTTGCATTGTCAGTTTTCTCCTGTCTACTGGATAATTCCCAACAACCAAAAACATGTGCTGCGTTCTTAAAGAAAAGAATCATCCTGTGATCCTATCTTTCTTTTCAGCTACCCATTTCCCTATGTCCCTTCACAACAAAACTCACTGGAAAGGCTGCCTAAAATTTCTGTCTCCAATTCCTCCTCCCCTCTTTCTTAAGTGCACCCATCAGGCTTTCACTTTCCAACTACTTCAAAAACACTGCTCTTTTAAAAGTCATCAATGACCACTTTGTTAACCCAATAAGCCAATTCTTAGTCCTTATCCAATTTGAGCTATCAGCAGGATTTAACATGAATGGTCTCTTCTCTTCGATGAAACATTTCCTTGACTTGGCTCTCAAGCTATCACACATTCCTCGTTTTTTCCCTTAGCTTACTAGCTGATCCTTCCTCCTTCTCAGCCTCTTTACTGTTGGAATTCCCCACAGCTCAGTCCTTGGGCCTCTTTTCTTATCTGTCTATAATTCAGTCGCTTGATTTAATTTCATCTCCTGGCTTTAAGCCTATAACCTAACAACTCCCAAACTCTTATTTCTAGACCAGAACTCTCTGCAGATACTTTTATCATATTATGTTCTTGGATGTCAATTCGAAAAACAAAATCTGTCTCAAACTGAATTCCTGATCTTCCTCCCAAACTTATTCTATCCACCATTTTCCCCATCTCAGGAAATGGCAATAGCGACTTCATCCTCTCAATTGCTCAGAACAAAATCGCTAGAATTTTTCTGGACTCCTCTCTCTCTCTCTCCACACACACACACACACATACACACACACATACACACTCCATATCCAACTTTCAACAGGTCCTGAAAGTCCTGCTTTCCAAATATTTCCAGAATCCAACGACTTCTCACCATCTTTACCACTACTTCTCTGATCCAAGACATCGTAATCTCCTATTGGAATTATTGTAATAAATAGTCTCTTACTTGGCCTACTACTTATTTATACTCCTGCCTCATGCAGTCTATTCTCAATACAGCATCCACAGTGATTTTTTAACAATTTAAGTCACATTATGGCGTTCCTTTGCTCAAAACCCTCCAGTGGTTCCCCATCTCAATGCCTTTCCATGGCTTGCAATGCTTTATATGATTGCCCACCCCCTAACTTTCCACTGCCTACCCCAATACTCTCCTTCTCTCACTCCACCAGTCACACCAGCCTCCTTGCTGTTTCTCAGCTACTTTGGAGCGATTGTGCTTGCTGTTCTCGCTACCTGGAACCCTTAACTCTCCTTTGAAGGTGACAGTAGCTTGTTCCATTGTACCATGGGAGTTTGCCTTGGAGCCTTTGCTCAAAGGGACCTCAGTGGGGGCGCCTGGGTGGCTCAGTTGGTTAAGCCACTGCCTTTGGCTCAGGTCATGATCTCAGGGTCCTGGGACTGAGCTGGGGGCTTCCTGCTCAGCGGGGTGTCTGCTTCTCCCTCCGCTCCTCCCCCCAGCTTGGGCACTCTCCCTCAAACAAATAAAATATTTTTTTTATTTTTTTAAAGTACTTCAATGAAATCTTCTCTAGTCATCCTATCTACACATTCATTGCCTCTCCCCACACTTCTTTTCTTGCTATCATAGATCACGCTTTTCTTGGGTGCTCAATAAACACAGAAAAACGCCCACAACGCTATCTTCTTTCTTTGCTTACATCATTTTTTTTACATGATTACATTACATTTTTTACATGATTACATTTTTTTACATGATTTTTTTGCTTACATCAACGATGTTCATCAGCACCAAGACACATTTACTTATTCATGTGTTTATTTGGTTACTTCTTCTCGTTAGACTGCAAATTCCACTAACAAGGGCTGGGTGAATGAATGCATGGGTATTTCACAGGGATAATGAGGTGTCCCCAGAATCCCAATAGAGCTTGGAGCAGAGAGGGTGACCTCTCACGATGCTGCGATATTCGAATTCAAGAAACTAGTAAACAGTCTCGTAAAGGGAACGAGGTGTCCCCAGGAGCCGCAGCATCCACGGTTAGCTCGTTCCTCCAGGACGCCCGGCCAGGGCCACCCTTTCCCAACCTTTTCTCCTGCTTCCCTCCACCGGGACCCCCGCCCCTCCCGGCCTGCGCTCCTCAGCTCCCCCCAACCCTCTCCAGAGGGATTTTCGGGCTGGTCCCGGCGCCAGGACCACAAAGGCACCTGCAGCCGGCCACGCCCCGGGCCCCGTTACCCAGCAGCCCCGCGAGCCCACTCGTTCCCGCCCAGTCTCCCGCGCCTTCACAGGCCCCGCCCCTTCAGTCGGCCACCAAGCGGAAGTGACGTCCTTGCGGAGCCCGGAGTCCCGCCCCGCACGCTTTCCCAGCCCCGGGGCGGGGACTCAAGACCGGAAGGGGAGGCTACAAGGCCCCCCCCGGTAGGGCGGGGCGGGGCGGGACCGGGCGGCCCTCCCGAAAGTGGCGGTTTGCTGGAGGCGGTTACCGTAGTGTCCGGTGGCGCGCTTCCCCCCGTAGCGGGACACCGGTTATTTGGGCCCTGCCTCAGACTCAGGTTCCCGGCCCCGTTCCCTCGGGCTGCTGCGGCCCGTCCTCCCTCTCCGGGCGGGGCCACCCGTGGGCCGCTCTAGGTTCTCTCCGCTCCGATCGCCATTCCTTCCCGGAGGCAGGCTTTACACTCTCCCTTTTAATTTCTTCCTACTCCTCTTTCCCGTCCTTCCTTCCTTCCTTCTCCGGGATTGTTCTTCCACCGCCGCCTCTCGGAGGCTTCTCTGCTTTCCTGGCGCCTCCGCTGCAGGCTTGGGGCGGGGGGCGGGGTGGAGCTTTCCACGCCGTCCTCGGAGGGTTTTGAGCGTTTCCTTTCTGCTTGCCCAGGAGTCGCAGATGCCGGGAAGTATGGCCCCCCTCCAGAAGCCTCGCCACGCCACAAGGATGCCCCTGGCCCTAAACCCCCTGAAGAGCAAGGACGTGCTGGCGGTGCTGGCCGAGAGGAACCAGGCTGTAATGCCGGTTGGGGCCTGGGTGGAAGCGGCCTCGCCACATAGTTCGGAAGTCCCCGCGTATGTGAGTGTCAGTTCGATGCAGGTGTAGTGGGGCCTCCCCCGCCACCCCCCCATATTAGCCCTCTCTAATCGGTGCTTAGATAAACATGAACAGTCCTTTCTCTTCTGTTGTACAATGAGTATGTTCCTGAATTAGGATTGCAGAACGCACAGGTGTCTGCCAAAACTAATTCACAAAGTCTAGACTGCTTGCTATGCACAAGACGTAGGCACTGGCTGTATCTTGCAGACGCCCTCCAAGGCAGTAGGGATGACGGTTGCCACACTTTGTGTAAGTAACATTAATGGATTCTTTTCTTTTCTTTCTTTTTTTTTTTTTTTACATTAGTTGATTCTTAAAGTTACGGTAAGTGTGTAGAATCAATAAGACCCAGACGCAGTAAGAGAATAAGGGAAGAACAGATTAATTCTGACTGGGATTATTCTGAGAAAGTTTTGTTTTTGTTTTTTTAAAGATATTATTTGCTTATTCATGAGAGAGACACAGAGAGAGAGGCAGAGACACAAGCAGAGGGAGAAGCAGGCTCCCTGCAAGGTCCCCGATGTGGGACTCGATCCCAGGACCCCAGGATCACGACCTGAGCCAAAGGCAGACCCTCAACCACTGAGCCACCGAGGTGCCCAGAGAATGTTTAACTATAAGTTCCAAAAGGAAAGGGACCTTTATTTTTTGTTCATTCCTATCCTGTCATATAGTAAGTCTTTAAGGGATAGATTGGCTCCTGGGAGACAAATTAGGATGTAATTATAACAATTTAGCCATGAAGTATGGCTTCGAGACTTATTTAATGGTAAGGAATAAAGAGGGAAAGCCCTAAAAAAGGGAGGTTGAAGTAGGAATGAAGAGGAGTAAAGATAAGAAATAAGGCAGAAGAATCGATAAGATTTGGTACAAAGATTTTTTTTTTTTTTTTATTTAAGATAGTCATACAGAGAGAGAGAGAGAGGCAGAGACACAGGCAGAGGGAGAAGCAGGCTCCATGCACCAGGAGCCTGACGTGGGATTCGATCCCGGGTCTCCAGGATCGCGCCCTGGGCCAAAGGCAGGCGCCAAACCGCTGAGCCACCCAGGGATCCCTTTTTTTTTTTTTTTCAAAGATATTTTGATATTTAAGTTAGTGGCACTTCTTTTTCATTGCTCAAATTATGACACCTTGATCATGTAGTAGCAAAATGCCTAAAAACCACCAAAATCTTCCTTTTTTATGTTAGACAATTGAATCTCATGTTCCCAAATATTAACTCAAAATATTAGTCTTGGAAAAAAATATAAACATGTCTCTTTTCCCGCATTTAAAAAATTCTGATCAGTACCAGTCAAAGGCAGTTTGATCAAGCATCTCATAGAACTCTACCGATTTAGCACATGCTGTCTTGGGAATCAACTCTTATTAACAGATGCGGCTCTAGTCAGCTCAGAATAAATGCTGAATAGTTACTTCTAGAGCATGGTAGACCTAACATGGTTATTCTAAAGGGAAACTCCTAATAATTTTGTCCCGTTTCAGAGCCATCAAGATTCCTAAAAGTACTATAGTTTCAGACCTCCCCTTCCATTAAGTAAATTAGCATCAAAAGACACTGCAGTTCTATCAGCATTTTATGGCTATTGCATTATTTTATTTTTTTTAAATTTTTTTTTTTTAATTTTTATTTATTTATGATAGAGAGAGAGAGAGAGAGAGGCAGAGACACAGGCAGAGGGAGAAGCAGGCTCCATGCACCGGGAGCCCGATGTGGGATTCGATCCCGGGTCTCCAGGATCGCGCCCTGGGCTAAAGGCAGGCGCCAAACCGCTGCGCCACCCAGGGATCCCTATTGCATTATTTTATATTTTATCTGTTTGTGTAACAAACCTGGATCCTAGTGGCATAAAGCAAAAGATACTGTGTGTCAGGATTTCAAGCAGTTGTCTGCAGCATTGCATCTGAAACCTCACTTGGGACAGCTAAAGTAGCTGGAGATGTCTGGGACAAGCTTACTGGGTTCTGGCTGTTGGTTTTCTTGGCTCTTCTTCATTTGGCGTCTACTGGGCTGTAATGTCCAAGATGGCTTTCTTATTCACATACCTGGCACTTGGGCTAGGATGACTAGAATGGCTAGGGGCTTGCTGGATACTTTCTTTTTCCACATGGTCTCTCTACTTGGCTAGCTTGGGCTTCCTCAGCATGGTGTCTAAGGGTAGAATTCTTACTTGGTGGCTGGTTTCCCCAAGGATGAGCCCTCTAAGAGCTATAGGTGGAAGTTGCTTTATGACCTTGCTGGATAAGTCATGGAGCCAATTCTTCCTCATTCTGTTGCCTATTCAGAGCCCGACTACAGTCAGTATGGGAGATGACTTCACAAGAGCATAAATACTGGGAGGTTTGGTACACTGTGGGGAGAAGGGGAGATCATCTTTGGAGACTACTGCAAAATCTAAGTATCAGTTCTATCATATGTGAATTAGGCAAAAATGTCCTTTGGTTGTGAGAAACACTTTCCTGTATTGTCCCCTTGGATAGTCCTTAGGATTCAAAAGGTCTATGAGGAGTTAGTTGTACAATTGAAACAGTATGTATTTTTGCTTAACTCAGTATTCCTCAAATTTATTTGACTCTGGGAATCTCCTATCATTCCAAACATGGGACAATGTTCTTGGGTTTTGGTGGCCTTATACAATGGTGTTTGCTAAGAAAAATATGTTTCTAAAATGTGGTATACTCTTATCTTTGGTTTACAGTTGAGATTCACAGTTTGGAATCAGTCATATACTTCAGTAAGATGTTTGATAATCTCAGCATGGGGTTAAAAGAGGGAGCTGACAGATAATGAAAGTAAAAGAGGCAGGATGGCTTTAATCTTCTGGGACTTGAGTTACTTTCGGTCAGTTGTTCAGGCTTTACTACCTGTATCTTTCCTTTGGAATTATTTTACCTATAATTGTTCTTTGATATTTGTTTTATACACTCCTAGATATATCCTTGTGTAAAATATGAGGTAGATTCCTTAGAAAATTTAATTTCTAAGGAAATTAAATAATTTAATTAGAAAATAATTTAATTTTAATTGGAATTTAAGTTCATTTGATTTTGAGAGTTAATGACTTGTGATATATTTGAACACCTTCTAAACTAGAATTTGGAATCACTGTGTCAAAAAAAAAAAAAGGAATCACTGTGTCAGAAGAAGGACTCAATAGGAGTATGATTTATTTAATTTGAAGATTCTTTTTGAAAGAGAAACATAGTCAAGAGAAAAACAGTACAGTATAGGGCATACGTATTGGAGTCAGAAACTTCTAGCTCTATTACTTGCCAGCATTAGGATCTCGGGCTACTACTGAAGATGAATCTTTCTGAGCCCCAGTTTCCTCTTCTTTAATATAGGACAGAGAATGCTTTCTATTGGAGGTAGTTTCCAGGATTCAGTGATATAATGTAGTTAAAAGTGTTTGTCTTGTAACAGATCTTTAGTAATGGTAACTGCTTTTAATTATGTTGTACATGGTTGTTATTCAGGGCACTCAGAGGAAGGGAGTAGTGATCAGGGACTCAAATGGGATAAAATTTCTGGATTGTTTTGACTATGTTTTGTGATTGAGCATTACATAAATATTGAGTACCTTTATATTCAAGGCTCTCTGTTATATACTGTAGAGGCAACAAAGGAGAATTAAATACATTTCCTGCCTTCAGAGTATACCTACCTAATCTAGTGGGGGAGTTAAGAAGTTTTGCTCTCAATTAACATTAATAAGAGTGAGAGATACTACAGCATGGGAGAGCTCAGAAGAAGAATGGATTGTGGAAGGTCCTAGGTGGTTGGGTATTATTAGATGATCTTAAAGAGTGAATAGGCCTTTACTTTACTAGATGGAGATGATAGGAAGGGTATGCTAGGTTAAAAATGGAGCATAAATCTGAGCGTGAAACTATTTTACAATAGGACATATTTAGTGAGTGATGAACAATCTACTGGATTTGGACTATTTTACTCATTTTAGAAAATGTGTGATATAAGATAGGTTTGAATTGGTTCATTGAGAATTAATGAAGACAACTTTAGTTGTCAGTTCAATGAAAAATTAAGATTTGATTTGAGTGCCCCAATGGGCAAAAACTGCTGACATTTACATTTGTTTTCTATCTTTCATCTTTTAAGACTTCAGCATATATGATTGAAGAAGAACTAAAGGAGCAGCTAAGAAAAAAACAAGAAGCTCTGAAGCATTTTCAGAGACAAGTCAAACACCGAGTAAATCAGCAAATCCGGCTGAGAAAAAAGCAACAGCTTCAGAGATCTTATGAAGCAGTAAGTTCAAAAGTGAACCTGAGTAACGATCGAATTGAAACTGTGTGTTATGAGATAAGCTATTAGGCAGTAACAGAATCACTTTCTTTGATTCTATGCTTTGTATAATTGCTAGGGAGGGCAGTAGATTTGTATGTAGAGAAACTTGTGTTTCTGTGTTATTCTGACTCACAATTTTTTTTTTTTTTTTTGCTTTCACCAAATAGTTAAAAACAATGTCAGAATTTTGGATTGGGTTTGAATTTTGGCTTTGCTGCATGGATTGTAGTTTCTTCATCTATAAAATGGGGCCATGATAGTTGTCTCATAGCATTATGAGAATTAGATATTTAAGTTATTAGCACATACTAAGTACCTGGCAAATGGTAGTTTCTTTGCTTGCTGAAGCTTTCTTCTTTCTACCCTGACTCTGATTTAAAATCTTTGGGGCTGCTTATGGGCATTATTTGATTGTGCTGGCTTGGAGTAGAATCTCACTAGAAGAATCTCATTCTTCCTTTGTGTAGGCAGAAAAAGAAGGCTCTATAGCCATGCAGTCTTCAGATCCAGCACATTTAATTCCTAAAAAAACAAGTGTTTTTTCAAACAACTTGAATGCTGCTATTGGAAGTGCTAGGTTACCTCCTTCCCAGATGCTTGGAGATGGAATAGATGATAGAGAGAATCAGAATGAATTATTCCAACAACAAGCCCAGGCGGTAAGTATATACTCATTTTATGTCTCTGATTTTTTTTTACTTATATCTAAGGTATGAAGTAGCAATTAGGAGGTATCACATTCAATTTCACTTTTAATTACCTTTGTAAAGTGGTGAATAGTGAAATGATGTTTATTTTTTTATACATATTTTTAATTTATTTATTTTTGGTAAGACAGTTTAGAATCATCTAAAGGAAGGTGCCAAAGTGTTAGAGTCAAACCTTATGAGAAAGAGCTTTAGGTCAAAGATCAAAGATCCCCCCCCCCCAATTATACTGTAATTTTGTTATGGGTAAATTATTCTGTTTGTAGCATATGGACAGAACTGATTTCTAACCTCTGTTGCAAAAAAGTACAGTACATATGGCATATCATCATTTTTTTTCATTCATCAATTTTGTCTCATTTTTGTCTTTCCTTTTAATCTGATTATCATAATAAATCTATAGGTCAAGTAATAATAAATCCTCAACATAATCAGAATTTTTTTAAAAAGTAACCTATCTAGAAATTGATTTTACATGTTATTTATTAATTTATCAAAGATTTATTTTTTTGTTTTAGAGAAAGAGCTGGGAGGAGGACAAAGGGAAAGAGGGAGAGAGAATCTCAAGCTGACTCTGTGCTGAGCTTGGAGCCTGGTGCAGAGCTGATGTGGAGCTTGATCTCATGACCCTGAGATTGTAACCTGAGCTGAAACTAAGAGTTGGACACTTAACTGTCTGAACCACCCAGGTGCTCCTTACATATCTGTTATTTAAAAATTTGCATAAATGATGAATTATTGAAAACTACATCTGAAACTAATGTACTATATGTTGGCAAATTGAATTTAAATATAAATAAATAAATAGATGGATAGATGGATGGATGGATGAATGAAATTAACTACCATGAGTAGGTTTATCCACTCAAATCATTTGGCCCATACATTCAATTCTCCTTAGTGTACATGAGCTTTTTTGTCCAGTTGATACCATATTCTTCAACTCTGCTCTGGGAATTATACTTCATCTTATTTAAAATGTATTTCTAGGAATAGTGAGAGAAGAGCAAAAATGTAGAAGTAGTGGTAGTGCCTGGGTGGCTCAATTGATTGAGAGTCTAATTTTTGGTTTTGGCTCAAGTCATGATCTCACTGATCGTGGGATCACACCCTGTGTGGAGCTCTGTGCTCTGGGGAATCTGCTTGAAGATTCTCTCCCTCTATCCCTTCCCCTTCTTTGGTTTACTCTCTCTCTTTCTCTCTAAAATAAATAAATCTTTAAAGAAAAAAAAATGATTATGTGAAAATAAAAGTTTTGCAACTGCTTACATGATCGGTCATAAGTATGAAGCAAATCTAATTGTGTTGTTAGTATCAATAGGAAAAGCTTTATATAAGTACATGTTATATTGAGATACTTAAAACAATTTTTTTCTCTTTGCCCCAAACTATGACTATGACTTTTTCCTGCCATTGCTTGGTTTGTAGTAATCATTTTATAAATCATTTTTATTTTCCTTTTTAAGATTATGAACAATTTCTTGAGCAAGTATTTATTGAGCTAGATACTGCATAAAGTATAAGGGATAGAACATTGATGAAGACAGACACAGCTGTTGCCTTCATGGTGCTTCTAGCTGTAACCTCACTGTAGTGTGGATTTTACTTCATCTGTACAGTACATGAATAGAATACATCAGTTCACAGATCTTTGAATATCCTGTGTTTGTTAAACATTATACGGATACCAGTGAAATGTGAAATAGGACCCTTTATGGGTTTATATTTCCAAGTAGAGATATAAAGCTAACAGATCCCAAACTATTAGATATTAATATAGAGACATTTGCTCTATTTGATGGTAAAGTTGTGCTATTGGATTTCAAAAATTTTTAAATCCAAGGAAACATTCGTGGGAGAGTTCCTGGAAGATGTGGAATTGATCTGTATATTTTGAAATGATAAGGTAAATTGACTGGTTATATTCAAAAGAATTTTGAGATAGGAGGAACAGAGTATATGTAATGAGCTTGGTATATTTGGGAATAAGTGATGGAACCATTCTAATTGATAGTTTACAGAGGAGAGAATAATAGAAAATGAGGTTAGATAGGTAGAAGGAAATCAAGTTATGAAAAGCCTGAAATGTCACAAAATTTTTTAAAAGTTTTTTTAAGGATTTTATTTATTCCTGAGAGATACAGAGAGAGAGGCAGAGATATAGGCAGAGGGAGAAGCAGGCTCCTTGCAGGGAGCCTGATGCAGGATTCGATCCCAGACTGGGATCACTCCCTGAGCCAGAAGCTGACAGATGCTCAACTGCTGAATCACCTAGGCATCCCTAAAAAGTTTTTACACCCTGCTTTTTTTTCTTTAAAAGATGAACTAGATGAGCAACCTGGGTCGCTCAGCAGTTTAGTGCCACCTTCCGCCCAGGGCATGATCCTGGAGTCCCGGGATCAAGTCCCACATTGGACTCCCTGCATGGAGCCTGCTTCTCCCTCTGCCTGTGTCTATGCCTCTCTCTCTCTCTGCGTGTCTCTCATGAATAAATAAATAAAATCTTAAGAAATAAGAAAGAAAGAAAGAAAGAAAGAAAGAAAGAAAGAAAGAAAGAAAGAAAGAAGAGAGAGAAAGAAGAAGAAGAAGAAAGAAAGAAAGAAAGAAAGAAAGAAAGAAAGAACTACTGAAGAATGTTCAGTGAACTAAACTACTTTAAGCCTATAAACTTTTGCTCATACAACACCATGACAATAGATCCTTTTTAATTTTGCAATTTCTGTTGCAGTTTTTATCCACTAGATGTCACTAAGAACTAGACAGTGAGATATTGTTCAAGCACTAACCCCCTTGGTTTATCTGGAAGTGGTTGAGTCAATGATGAATGCAGTTCACTTTCTGAATGTTCGTGGACTTTTCAATTTTCTTGTGTGCAGAGTGATAGAAACATAGAATCCTGGTGTTGGAGGGTTTTAAATGTTCATCTGATATATTGAAATACTTAAGGATGAAATGACTTGACATCTGGCATATACTTCAAAATAACATAAGGGTGAGGTGAAGTAGGGCATTATAGATAAAACAAGATTGCCCAGGAATTGATAATGTTAAAACTGGTTGAGATACACACACACACACACACACACACACACACACACAAACACACACACACTAGTTGATCCATGTGTGTATTATAGCTTCTACTTCTCTGTATGTTTGAAGTTTCCAGTATGTTTGAATTTACTCACATTTTTAATTAAATGTTGTAAAACTAAAGACATTATCTAGTCTAACCTTTCTTTCTTTAAGGAGTTCTTTTTATAACCTCTCTTATATAAATGGCCATCTAGTTTTCTGTTAGAACATTGCCACTGCTGAGCAACTGAATACTTCTTAGACTATTTCATTTTTAGAACTCTTGAAATTACTATAAGTGTTGTTTCAATGGGGGGATCCATGGGGGGGGGGATCCCTAGCTCAGCGGTTTAGCTCAGTGTGTGATCCTGGAGTCCCGGGATTGGGTCTCATGTCAGGCTCCTTGCATGGAGCCTGCTTCTCCCTCTGCCTATGTCTCTGCTTCTCTTGTGTATGTCTCATGAATAAATAAATAAAATCAGCTTTTTATTTGTTTCTCACTGAATCTTTTATTATCTTGTTTTTTACTTTTTTTCTCTCTATAATGCACGTTTTCCAGCTTTTTCAACCCTGGAAATAACAATTCATTTTGGCAGTTAAGAAAGGTTTAAGCAATATGAAATAACCTGTTAAGTTTTCTGTAATCTATCATTGGCAAACTATTGTTTGAATTAGGCTCTTTGACTGCAGGAATTCCTTTTATTTTAAGAATATGTGTGGACCCCCAGTCCCCAGTCAGGGGACTACCTGCATGACTACCACTCATGCAGCTCTTGGGGAACCAAAAACCAGCACTTAAAGCTGAATGACGGAGAAAAAAAAAAAGAATATGTGTGGAATAATAAAGGCAGAATCAGAAATACACAAAACACACAAATCTAACCTCTTTTAAGGAGTCTGTGGCTGGATACTTTTTCTGAATCTGAGGTATCTCTGGTGATCACACAGCATAGGATCTTTGATCTTCACACTATTACTTAATCACTAACCGTTGATTCAGTTGTTCTCATAGGGTGACACACCTTCCCTTCTCTGATGATCTGAGACCTCCAGTGCTAAAGCTGGGCAGTTCTAGGCAAAGTGGGAGACTCAACTACTGAGTCACCCAGGTGCCTCACAAAATCAGTTTCACTGAGCTGAAATCAAGGTGTCAGCAGGGCCCCTTCCACAAATTCTAGGAGAAAATTTGATCGTTGACTCTTTAGTTTTTGGTGTCTGTTGGCATTTCTTTGCTTTTGGCTATATCATACCAATCCCTGCTTCCATCTTTACATCACCTCCTCTTCTGTATGCCAAATCTTCCTCTCTTTTTTTCTCTCATAAGGACAGTTGGGATGGCATTTAGGGCCAATGTGGATAATCTAAAATTATCTCAAGATAATATCTCTAAAGGCTTGATATCTGCAAAGGCCTTTTTTCCCTATAAAGTAGCATTTACAGGTTTCAGGGATTAGGACCTGATGTCTTTGAGTGTATATTATTATTCAGCCTATTACAGTCCTCATGGCTGGTCTTTGAAAGGGTCTTTAGGTTGAGGTTTGATGAAGGGTTATGGTAATGATAGAGAAATGGAAAAACTATAATGTATATTTCAGCCGTTGGACCAGTTGAAATATTTTGTTTAAGGGACTAAAATCAATCTGTGACTCTAATAGAGGTTTGGAGTTGATGGGAGAAGAAGATTATGTATCCTTATTTCAGATCTGTTACAATGGGTATTTTGAATCCTTGGTCACATTGTGCAAGCAATAACATTTACCATACTTGGTAATGAGTAAGACCAGACATATGTGTGGCTCTGTATTTTCCATAACCTCAGCTGTACATGTATCTCTTTTTGCAATAATATTATCTCTGTCTGGACCCCTTTAGCCACTCTGCTAACCCAATTTAGAGGTCCTCCTTTTAGCAGAATAAAGAGTAATGTTTCAAGCTGATTTTTCTGACTGGAGATGTAGACCTTTAGAAGCAAGAATGAAACAGAGGTGATACACTGTAAGTAAACTGCACTGGTAGTGAGAGTGTTTTTATCCCTAGCTCACTATTAGTAAAAATCAAGGTGTTTATTATTTATAGTTGTAAATCATGGTTATGATTTGCCTTCAAGGGAGAATTGATATCATTAAACTTTTACTGGATGGGTTAGAACTGGTCCTGGTTTTGCCATAATTTTACTGAATAGTATAGTAGGGATATGCTTTTCTTCCACATGATATAGAGCTCAGCCTAAGAAAAAAAATCATACTTTGTTCATTTCTGTATTTTCTTTAAGGGAACATTTTGTGCAGATTTGTGAAAAATAGGTAGGCTATGATTCTCTGAAAAAGAAATCAAAATAGGTGCTTACTAAAATTACTAGATAGAAGGAATGAACACAAAGTCAGTGTATTTAATATTAATACTTATTATCAGCTGTTACTTGGAGTACTTGAAACAAATGGGTTGAGATGTTTGAATTTGTGTTCTGAATTAACTTAGGCTTTCTGGAAGAAGGGGGATTTGAAAAAAGACTTAAGAGCTACAGTCTTCCAGTTAGGGGTGAAGAAGGGATTCTTGTAAATAGGAAAAAAGAATTTAGAGGGACTGGGAATGGAGTCTTCTGGCAAGGAGTGACAAAAGTGATTAGGCATGCAAGGACTAGTTGAAGAAATAACTCCTTATTGAGAGCATGAATGGAAGGTAAGGAATGTATCTGCTCAATCATTTCTAAGTTTATTAATTCAGACTTTTTATCCTGATAAAGGTTCTGATATTTTTGTGTATACTCTTAATACAAAGCGTATGTTGTTAAAAAAATTTGAATAACAGAACTTAAATCAAGTTATGAAATACAGTATTTTAGAGTAATGAAAATCATGTTGTAAAAATACTATCAGCAGACAAAGTCTCCTTTGCAGATAATCCTCTTGTCTTAGGTCTGGCTTTTTTTAATAATAGGTTTTCCTGTTTTCCTGTTGGAACACTTGGTGAATTTGGTATTAAAACTTTAGCCTGTTTTTGTTTGCTCTTTCTTGCCTTTGCCTGGCAGCTTAGTCAAACCATGAAACAGGCCCGTCACCGGCTGGCATCCTTTAAGACTGTGAATAAAAAAAATGCATCAATGTTCCCAGATGGTAGAAGGAAAACCTTTCCCCCTCAAGAGGTAAATTCATTTCTAATAAATTGTTTTAAAAAGTACAGATAAAGATTTATTTATATCTTGACAGTATTGAGAACTGTAAAAATCAATGGAAATAACCTAAAATATCCAAATAGTAGGGAATGGTTAAAAAATTACAGTGTATCTATGTATAGCCATTTTAAAAATTATCATGCTTTCAGAGTATATATGAAAACAAGGGAAAGTGTCTGTGGTACAAAGTTAAGTGAAAAAAGTAGGATACAAGATTATATACAATATATTCTCAACTGAAAAAACTTTATTCAGCCAATATTTATGGAATGTCTATAGTTGCCAGGCATTGTTCTAGAAGCAGGACTTTTAGAATGGAGAAAAGATAGACAAAGATCGCTCAAGGAGCTTCTGTGCTAGTAGGGAAGCAAATAATAAGCAAATAAATGTAGAATATAATTTCAAGTGATAAATGCTATAAAAAAAATAAAGCTAAATAAAGAGATAGGGAGTGATGCTATGTGCAGAGATGAAAGCCTGGAAAGAAATGGACCCAGAGGTTAATACTGATTATTTCTTGTTAGTGCTAATTCAAAATACAAGGTTAGAATGAATAATTGGAACCTAAATGTGGAACTAGACTTAAAAGGATATTTAAGGCTATCCTTGTAAAATGCCATTGTTCTGTGCCTGTTTATTTTAGTGTTCACAAATTTGGATGCTAAAAACAAACTCCTGTATTTTCTTTTTTTTTTTTTTTTTAAATTTTTTTTTTTTTTTATTATTTATTTATGATAGTCATACAGAGAGAGAGAGAGAGGCAGAGACACAGGCAGAGGGAGAAGCAGGCTCCATGCACCGGGAGCCCGACATGGGATTCGATCCCGGGTCTCCAGGATCGCGCCCTGGGCCAAAGGCAGGCGCCAAACCGCTGCGCCACCCAGGGATCCCTCTTTTTTTTTTTTTTAAAGATTTTATTTATTTGAGAGAGAAAGAGCACAAGCAGAATGTGGGGGGTGAGGGGGAGGGAGAGGCAGAAGGAGAGGGAGAAGCACAGAGTAGGGAGCCAATATGGGGCTCAGTCCCAGGATCCTGAGATCATGACTCAAGCCGAAGGCAGATGGCAGACGCCTAACTGCCTGAGCTACCCAGGCACCCCCAAACTCATGTATTTTCCCGTGGTTACTCATTTTGGCATTAATTTCAAGTTTTGATAGACAACATCTAGTAAAATGGACCATTTCATCCTTTTTACTCTTTTTTTTTTTTGGCCATCCATCACCTCTGTCTCTTATTTACTTCTTTCTTAGTTTTGCTTCCTAAATATGTACATATATAGTTATATATATAGTTTTTTTCCTTACGTGTCTCAACAGAACCATCAGAAACATTTGTCTCTTATATGTTTGCAGTTTGTAGAATACTAACCTATAATGCTTCCCTCTTCAGTGATAATTAAGACATTTATAGTTAAATATAAAAAACAAGCGGGCATGGGTGTATATCACATATGGCATTTCATCCTAGATGCATTTAGTATGGTTACCTTTTTCTAGCATTGCCTTGTTTTGATTCTCAAGATAGAGTTTCTTTTGTACCTAAATTCTTCTAAATGGCTTAGGTTTTTTTTTGTTTTTTTTTTTTTTTGTTTTTTTTTTTTTTACAATTTTCATACCTGTGGATTTGGCGACTACATTTTGTGCCATTGGACTGACTCCAGAGTATGGTTAGATGAAGTGATTGGACACATTCTAGTAAACCAGAAAAAAAAGGGTTATCAGATCCTAGACACTCCTATTTTATATTGTGTGGAACATTTTCAAACCTTTCAGTTGATGTTTTTCCAGAAAAAGTACTGTTTACAGGTCTGACTGAAATAATCATTCAGTAGAAGGGAAAAGGATTAAGTCTAAGATAACATCCTGTTTAAACCAGTTTTGTATGACAAAGATGCCATTTAAATGTAGTTCATTATGATGATGGTGATGATCAATTCAGACTCACTGCAGCTTCCAAAGAATGCATGTGTATTTTTCAGCTAACACATTGGAAACAAATCTATTCCATAGAAATGAGAATGATCTTATTTCTTATATCATGTATGTGGTCTTTCCCTTAAATCTGAATAGTTTTCTAGCCCCTCAGTTGTGTGAAGTGGAAATCTGCCAGTCAGAAAGGACACAATCAATAACCTGGTTGAACTCTGGTTTCATTTCCTTGTTAGACTTATTTTTACTGACCTTAGAATCTGTCTGGTTGTTATTGTTATTCCAGATTTAGAGATACAAATAGAAGATACAGTTGCTTGCATACTGTTAGGTCACCAAGACAAAATCATAAGCCTCCTAAAATTGTCACTGGTGGGGATAGGGATAAATTGTCATTTATAAAGTTAATATATTCTCTTACCAGTCTATTTTTCTCCATGTTTGATCTGTGAGTGATTTGTTTGTAAATCTGAAGTAGACCTCACTATTTGTTTTTCTTTATTCTTTATTCAACCACTATAATCTGCTAAAATCATTCCAGATCTTCCTAAAAACTCAACTTAGTATCATGAGCGTATTACTTTCTCTAGACCATTTATATTTGTATTAATTTTTTTTTTCCAGAAAGCACTTTGTAGTAAGCCATCACCCCTCAAAATAAATATAGGAACAAGAGGACAGTTGACCTTTAGGTCCATCAAGATCTTTGGTCTTTTAACTACTTTGTATTACCAGAAATTTATAGAAAATCAGGAAAGGAAATGTAAATAATAGAGGGGAAAGATAATGGCTTGTTAGAGCCATCTACAGCTAATTAAGTTTGGGTTTAAGGGTTAAGATTGTTTTTTTTTTTTATGATTTTATTTATTTGAGAGAGAGAACATGTGCAAGAGAGCGAGATCAGGAGCAGGGACAGAGAGGGAGAAGCAGACTCCTCACTGTGCAGGGATCCCCAGTGCAGGGCTCAATCCCAGGACCCAGGGATCATGACTTGAGCTGGAGGCAGATGCTTAACTGACTGAGCCACCCAGGCACTGCTAAGGGTTAAGATTCTAATGTCTAGTATTGGTTGTTTCCTAAGTTTTGAGATATAATTCATATATCACACAATTCATTCATTTAAAGTAATACATTTCAGTGATTTTTTTGGTATATTCACAGGTTTATACAACTGTCCACATAATCTAATTTAGAACAATTTCTTCACCTCTAAAAGAAACCCTATCCCCATTAGCTATCACTTCCCATACCCTCCTTTCCCTACTCCTAGTCCTAAGCAACTACTCATCTACTTTCTATCTCTATAGATTTGCTTATTCTAAACATTTCCTCTAAATGGAAACATGTAACATATAATATATATTTGAGACATTTTGCCTGGACACTTCCCTCGTCTCCATTAATTATTTCATTAATAATATATATAATAAATCATATAATGGTCATTTGTGACTGGCTTCTTTCACTTTGCATAATGTTTTATGTTGTCGAATGTATCAGTACTTCATTCCTTTTTATTGCTGAATAATGTTCCTTGTATGGCTATATCACATTTGGTATATCCATCCATCAGTTGATGGCTTGGCTTTTATGAATAACTGCTACAAACAGCTGTGTACATGTTTTTGTGTGAATATTCATTTCTTTAGTAATAGAATTTTGGGGTCATAGGCTAACTATGGTTAGTATTTTGAGGAACTGCCAGGCTGTTTCCCATCAGCAATATATGTGGGCTCTGATTTCTTCACATCCTCTCCAATACTTATTATTGTCCATATTTTTTATTATAACTGTCCTACTGATGTGAAGTGATATCTCACTGTATTTTTTTTTCTTAAAGATTGTATTTATTTATTCATGAGAAACACAGAAAGAGAGGCAGAGACACAGGCAGAGGGAGAAGCAGGCTCCATGCAGGGAGCCCGATGTGGGACTCGATCCTGGGTCTCTAGGATCATGCCCTCGGCTGAAGGCGGCGCTAAACCGCTGGGCCACCGGGGCTGCCCTCTCACTGTATTTTTGATTTGTGTTTCCCTGATGACTTATGATCTTGAGTATCTTTTCACATGCTTATTGCCCATTTACATGTCTCTTAGGGAGAAAATGTCTATTCATATGTGGTGCTGATTTTTTAATTGGGTTATTTGATTTTTACTGAGTTATAAGGGTTCTTTATATATTTTGGATACATGTCTTATCAGATAGATGATTTGCAATATTTTCTTCCATTCTGTAGGTTGTCATTTCACTTTCTTAATGCTATCATTTGTGAAAAATTTTTGATTTTGGTGTAGTTCAACTTACCTATTTTTCTTTTGTTGCTTGTGCTTTTGATCTAGTATCTAATAAACCATTGCTTAATCCAAAGTCATCAATATTTTCTACTATGTGTCCTTCTAAAACTTATAATTTTAGTCCTTAAACTAAGGTCTAAAACCTATTTTGAGTGAATTTTTGTATGCGGTACTGAGGAAGTATTTTAATTCTTTTGCATGTGGATATCCTCTTGTCGCAGTACCATTTGTTGGAAAACTTCTTTCTCTGTTGGATTTTCTTGGCACTCTTGTTGAAAAACAGTTGACTGAGGGTTTTTTGATGTCTTAGTATTATCTTCTGAGACCCATAAACATGGGATGCCTTTCCATTTATTTAGATCTTTTTAAATTTCTTTCAACTGTGTTTTATAGTTTTCATTATATAGTCTTAATGCTTCTTTTGTAATGTCCTGTTTTTATAATACTTGATTATATTGACCTACCAAATTATCCTAATAGTGTGCTGAAGCCTAAGATTTTATTGTAATCACATTGTTTCTACCTATAATAGATACTTTTTTACTGTTGTTGATTGTGTGTTTGTAGGAACCTGACTCTGAGGAATCTTCATCTACTACGGTAGATAAGAGAGAGAGAGAAAATTTGTTTTGGGGACAGCAGCAGGATCTCCTTTCTGAAAACAGGGAGAAACCTTTCAGCAGAGTACAGGTAAAGCAGAGTGAAAGGAGATAGTATAATAGAAATTAAACTAAGTGTGATTTAGACTAGGGATGCCATATTGTTGTACTGGTTTCGGATTATAGATTTAGGTTCTGTTAAGTCAAGCAAAGATTGTATTTTCCCATTTTATTTTAGTAATTTGTTTGACTATCATATTTTTTTTTAGATTTTATTTATCTATTTGAGAGAATGAGCACAAGAGTGAGAGAGAAAGCACAAGCAAGGGGAGGGGCAGAGAGAGAGGGAGAAGCAGACTCCCCACTGAGCAGGGAGCCCAATGTGGGGCACAATCCTAGGAACCTGGGATCGTGACTTGAGCTGAAGGTAGACACTTAACCGACTGAGCCACCCAGGTGCCCCTGACTACCATATCTCTTTGAGATTATTTTAGTAATCTTATGGAGAACCTATAGTATGGCTACTACCTGGCTTTCTATATCTGGTGTTTATGTTCACTTTTAGAAAGTACAGTTCAAAAATCCATTATTTGCTGTGATGAAAGAGGAAGAGCAAAAGCAATTGGATCTTCAGGACCTTCAGGATATTCTGCCGGAAGCCCAGGATTATCTTGCAGAAGCCCAAGGTGATCTGCTGGAAACCCAGAGTGATTTGACAGGAGTCCAGAATGTTGAGCTAGAAGCTGAGAGTGTTGAACCAAGGCTCAGTATCCAGCCTATTGATCCAGAAAACCAAGCTGTTGAGCCCGAGGCCCAGGCCATTGAGCCTAAAGTCCAGGCTGTTAAGATAGAAACTCAGGGTATTTTGCCAGAAGCCCAGAATATTGAACTAGAAGATGAGAGTATTATGTCCAAAGTCCAGGATTTGCTACCCAAAGAACAGTCTGTTCTTCCCAAAGACCAGAATATTCTACCCAGATGTCAGGACCAGGACTTTCTACTTAAAGACCGGGATTTTCTACCTAAGGACCAGAATATTCTACCCAGATGTCGGGACCAGGACTTCCTACCTAAAGACCAGGATTTTCTACCTAAAGACCAGAATATTGAATCCATATTTCAGGACCAGGATTTATTACCCAAAGACCAGCATTTTCTACCCAGGGATCAGGTAAAATAGAGTGGAAAGGAGATAAAACAAAAAGAAATAGCTACTTAAATTTTGGAGTGGGGTTTGCAAGCACTAAATTACAGCTGATTTGGAGTCATAGTTGGGAAAAATAGTTTCCTCATTAATTTCTCAGAAGTCTAGGGTTCTTATTAATTGTTAAAGTATTATCAGTAGCACATTACCCCTGGCCATTTACTTTTTTTTTTTTTTTGACCTTTATTAGAAAAATATTTCTGGCAGCCATTATCTGCTTTGACAGCTGAAAGATGGAAAAAGGAGTGGCCCACAAGTGTGGGGCAGTATTTTTTACTATTCAGGTTCCAAGGCCAGCCCTCCACCAGAGATCAACTAGGCCAAAAATAAGAACCAAGGGATCAGCAGGAAGTAAATTATGGGCTTATGTGAAAAAGAGTCTAGTGTTTTTTTTTATATCATGTTCAGTTATATTCTGACCTCAGTTAATGCCAGAATTCTCACTGCAGCCTCAAGTATTACTGGTTAACCTGTCTTTCTTAACTGAACAATTGATATCTTGTGTTTGTTCTTTCTTTAGAAAGCAGGTTTGAAGCAGGGAGCATCAATTTTGTTAGGCCCAAGAGGGAGAGAGGCATTTCCTCTGGCTGTCCATCAGGACCTTCAACACAGGCGTCAAGATCAGGCCTCCATCATGGACAAGGTAGAACAGAAAAAGGAGAGAGACCAGCAGGAACTGAATTGTTCAGGGTTTAGTTGGGAACTTGCAAAGGTTGTTCTCAGCTAGACTTTGGAAATGACAAAAAGTATGGCTTTCGGTTTTATTCCATATTTCACATTATCTCGAGTTAAAAAAAATTACTGTAAGGCTCTCAATAAAGCCTATAGCACTATTACTATCGTATTATTGCTACTGGACAATTTACAGTCTGTGTTTTTGTTTTCTTTCAGAAAGTACGCTTCAAGGAGTCATACTCTGATATGTCAAGTGAGGAAGAGAGGGAAGGCTTTTCTGTGGCAGGTCATCAGTATCTGCCTCCCAAGCTCCAGGACCAGACCTTCATCAGAGATCAGGTAAAGCAGAATAAAAAGGAAATAAACACGAAATAAAGTAACTGGATCGTACATATTCTCGGTAATAGGTAACGTAAAGTGTAGGGACAGGTGCAAAGACCCTGGTCTGATGACCTATACCAGTCAGATCAGTTCTGTCATTCAGAAGGTTGATAAATCACATTCGTATTCTCTTGTGGAATCAGACTATTTTAGCTTACTAAGATTATGCTACAACTTCTGCTGGAGCCCACAATATTACCACAAACCCACTGTCCCCACACGAACAGTGTAGGAAGATGTGGCAAATCTTAAATTACGAAACATATGGGGAGTTTGTTAAGACTATTCTGTACATGGCTTAGGAGTAAAAATTCAGGTCTACAGAGTTGGGCTAAAAGTGTTACATCCTTAAAAAATAGCATAAAATAAAAACATTATATCCTTGTTCAAGTTAAATATCTTGGAATATCTCACCTGGTACCATTTCCCTGGAGTTGTCATTGAGACCTACAGTATCCTGGTTAGTATGTTGCCCTGGTCAGACAGTTTGGTTTCTATTTTTATTCCTTTAGAACTTGTTTCTCAAGCAAATGCCATCTTTTATGAGAGCAGAGGGAATAAGTGATGAATTGCCTCTGGAGTATCAGCAGTGTGCTAAACCTAAAACCCAGGACTGAGCCTCCTCTAGAGAAGAGGTAGAGCAGAATACAGGGGGAACACTGTCTCCTTCATAAAAGAGTAATGGAGGTGAAAGTACTTAAGATTCGGGTTGGAGCTTATCAACTAGTTTACATGTAGGCTACATAGAATTAGAGCTGCCAGAGTGAGGCTAAGAGCAGAACATCTTCAGTTATTTCAAAATGTGCCAGAACCTAAAGTCTGTCCAGGTGGGAAAGCATATATCTGTCCTTTGGGTTGACCAAGAGGCAGGGTTTGTGTAATACTGATTGGTTAACAGCAAATCGTTCTGCATAAACTCACATCCTGGAGCATATTTGGCTTTCTGCATTTAGTCTTATGAATACTGAAGGGCTTCTAATCTTGGCCAACTGAAGCGATACACCAAAACCAGATATGGAGTTTGCAAACCAGTTATGAGGAAGGATAAAACAAGCTGTTGATCACCTCAGAACTGCCTCAACTCTACCACCTTTAGTGTTCGTGTATGGAATTATTGGGGACATTTCATAGGATCCTTGTGGAAATGACATAAGCTTGTTTCCTGGCTGTACCTTGGGAAAATGCTAGCAACATGATAAAAATACTACTTTGCTGCCTTACTTCTTCCAAACATACTATTGAATAAAAGTTACCCGATGCAAAAGAAAAAAAAAAGTACCAGAATAATCTGGGATTTGCTTTAAAATAGTCCAGGAAAAATTGGGAAAAGAGACAGATGGAAAAAAGTGTTACTAATTATTGAAGTTGGGGTATGTGTATCTTGGGATTCACTATACTATTTTCTTTCCTACTTTGCTTTATATTTGGGGATTTTGTATTAACACATGCAAGCACACATGCACGCCAACTCTGTTATGTTACCCTCCTATAGTAGTATTTTGGAGTTGTCACTAATCATTTCTGCTTAGACAGTTTTGTATTTTGTTGTTCCTAGAGCAAGTATATCAAGCAACCCTCATCTTTTGAGAAATGGGAGATTGAAAGAAGACTGGCTTCTGGAGTACCACCAGTATGTTTCACCCAGTGTTTAAGTTCTTGCCTCTCTTGGGGAATAAGTAGAGCAGAGTATAGTGAGGAATAAGTACCCCAGAATAAATTGCTTAGGTTTTGGCTCAAGTTTAACAGGGAAATATAGTAACTACTTAAGGGTTCAGTGTTAAGGCCAGTAAATAGTGAGCAAAGCTATCCTGTTCTCTAGTTCTGTGATGTATCATACCATTCTGACCTGTTGAAACGCCTTGAGGCCTCTTCATTGAAGCTCTTACCATTGCCCTGGCATGATGCTCCTGCTTCAACAATTGTTATTCAATGTTTATGTTGTCTTTTAGCACAAGAACTATGGCCAGGCCTTACATAATATGACAGAGGAGAGATGGAGAAAGGAGTTAATTCTGGAGCCTCATGAATATGTTTTACGTGATACCCGTGATCCAGGTTCTGCTGGACAGCAGGTAGATCAGAGTGTAGTAAACAGTAAATAGCAGAAAGTAAATTATTTGGAGTTTAATCTGGGCTTGCTTTTAACAACAGTGCTACAACTGTTAGTGTTATCTCTTGTTAATACTGTTAATAATATGAATAACAGCTTGCGTTCATTAGGCACTTTCTATAACCAAAATAGTTCGAGAACTTTGTATTCATTGTCTCATTTCTCATTCTCACAATATCTGGGGAGATAGACACTATGATTATCCTTGTTTTAGAAATGAAGAAACTTATGATTGCTTTGTGGATACAGCTAAGATCCCTAATAGTGGCAAGGAGTGTAAAGTCTTTTTTTATGCCCTGATGTATCAGACTATTCTAATAGACCTGTATAGAGTATGTCAGGGCTGTCACTGCAGCCTACAGTATTTTTACTAGCATTATGTCACTGCTCACACCTTGGTGACTGCTTTTGTATTTTTTTAGAGCTTATGCTTCAGGCAGCAGCCATCTGTTGGGACATCTGAAAGATGGCAAGAGGATTTGCGTCTGGATGACCATCAGCATCTGCCACCCAAGAACCAGAGAGAGGCTTCCAGCAGAAGACAGGTAGGGTATGGGTAATGGAATTTATTTATTTATTTATTTGTGTGTGTTTTTAAAAATTTTTTTAAAAAGTTAAATTTGCCAACATACAGCATATAACACCCAGTGCTCATCCTGCCAAGTGCCCTCCTCAGTGCCCATCACCCAGTCACCCCAACCCCCCACCCACCTCCCCTTTCACTACCCCTTGTTCATTTCCCAGAGTTAGGTGTCTCTCATGTTTTGTCTGGGTAATGGAATTTAGACAGGATTGTTGGCACCTACTGAGCTGGGAGTGGTAAGGCTGAGCAAAAAGCAGATTTCTTATTTTATGTCATAGTGTGTAAGATTTACCCTGACCTAAGATTACTTTAGTGCTTTCACTGAAACCTAGGATATTGTCAGGAGCACTTCCTGTCTGTTGGAAAATGTATGTTCTTTTGTAAGAGGTATATTTCTGATGGCCATTGTCTTTTATGGCATGAGGGAGGAAGAAATGAGTGGTTTCTATGGGAGAGGGGTCAGGAAGATCTTCCACCCAATGGCCAGGCCTAGATCTCCATCTATAAACTGGTAGAGCATAACATGGGATCACCAAGAAATAAACTGTTCAGAGTATAGCCTGGAGCTTATTAGGGTTATATTGCCTAAGCTTTGATGTACTGAGTTAAGATCTACAGTTTTTCAAGAAAATGTTATAATAATGTGGCCTTCTGAGATTCCTCCATGGCTTAACTGAAGTCTAGTTTATTCCCACTAGGATTTATCACTGTCTGGATAATTTCTATCTTATGATTTTATGTTATTTTAACAACAGAGCCTTCAGGCAACCAGTGTTGTTAGGATATATAAAAGAGCTAAAGAGACATTTCCTCTTGGCTCTTTTAAGAGAGCAGAAGAAAAGGAGCATCAAGACAGAAAGTAGGATTTGGGCTGAGGTTTTCAGGACTGAACTGTAGCTCTCTGTCATTTTTAGCTTGTCTTTATGAGGCTGGCCTGAAGGTATGCTGTCATACATTGTCACTTAGATATCCTGGAGTATGCCAAATCTGTTGCATATGTCTTTTCCTTTCCCTGGATAGCCTTCTGTTTTTTAGTTCACAGAGCCAGTCCCTTCTCATCCTTCAGATTTCAGCATAAATGTTATGTCCTTGGAAAAGATTGTCCTGACCACCTTATCAAAAATAGGTCTCCTCTCTTCTGTTTTTCTCTATCCCTACATTCTCTTTCCTTCTCAGTGCACAAACCAATTTGTAATAATTTATTTATTTAACATGTTTTTCCACTGGTCTATAAGCTTTATGAAGAGAGGTACCTCACCTAACGTGTTTACCAGTATATAAGCAGCCTGTATAGTACCTGATAGTCTGGTGCCTGGTACCTGTTAGTCTCTTCCTAAATATGTTTTGAATGAATTAATCAGTCAGACATTTATTCAACACCTTGTTAGGTGTTAGCCATTGTTTAGGCACTAAATATCAAAGATACAATTGTAAATCAGCCATAGAACTCAAATTTCAGAACTCAGATTTTTTTTTAAGTCTACAGAAGAGGGACTGATACATAAGCAGATAATTATGAAGCAACATAATTAATGGTAGAGGATGCATAGGGCATTAACTGAGCACAGAAGAGGCGTACCTAACTATGATTGAGGGTGCTGCCTTGGTGGTTGGAACCTCTTCTTCTTGTTCTTCCACCATACAAGCCCTGATTTCCTGGGTCAGTACTTTCCCTTTTTAGGCTCCTGAAAATAACCCAGCCTTATCAGGAAAAACACGTCAATAGTATAGATTTAGATCACAGTCATACCTGGTTTACAGTCACAACTGCTTAGTCCCCTGTGCTGCTCCTTATCCTATGGCCCACACTAATGATTGTAAAGCTTAGATACCTTGTAAAGTTCTTGCTGCATCCTCATACTCAGACTTTCATGAAGAAAATAGAAGCCATCATGTGCTGATTCCCTCAGCCATTTGCTTTTTTGGCATTCTTACATATTCCTACTATCTCAGAAGAAGAGTTGTCTGTCTTTGGACCACATTCTGGATTCTCCTGCCATCCTTTCTTCTGTGTCCAATTTTGAATATTGTGAGACTCTGGCCTCTCTTGAAATCCTCTAAAGAATGTTACACCTTTTGTTTTGTTTGTCCTAGCAGGCAGTCAACCTGGTTAAGTTTATATTATAAGGTCTCTCTCATCTTCTCTGAACAGTGGCTTGAATGTTAGTTCAATTTTCATAGCCTTCATTATACTCTGTTAGGTCCATCTTAATGCAAGAGCAACTCCGACGTGATTTGGGATTTTAAGCCAATTCATACACAGAGTTAAGGTATCCACTTTTCTAGCTCATTCCTCTTCAGGACACCCCACCCCTACACTCTCCACTTGACTGCAGGCCACATTTCCTGGACTCTTTAGTTAAAATCAATGAGACAGACAGGCCCATAGTGAGCTTACTCCTTGCCCAGTGCTGAAAGTCCAGTTTCCCTTACTTTTTTGAAAGCAGAAAATGTTTTCATTTTTATTGTAGCAAAAGTAAACACAAATTAAAAAAAAACCCAAAATTCCAGAAAAAACTACCATCTGTCTCTGCTATGTATCATTTTCAGATTTTATCTATAACAAATAACTTTAAAAATGAGGTATGCAGTCAATTCTTGTTATTTGTAGTAGTATATAAAGTTGCTACAAACACTGAATTGGTGAATACTAAACCATTGTTCCTAGGGGAGATACAGAGTTAGGTTTTTGTGAGCCTCTGATCATGTTTTGGTCATTGACTAATACCTGACTTTATTTTATGTGAATTTCTGTTTTTTTTTTTTTTTTTTTAAAGATTTTGTTTATTCATGAGAGACACAGAAAGAGAGGCAGGGACACAGACAGAAGGAGAAACAGGCTGCTCAAGGGGAGCCCAATGCGGGACTTGATCCAGGTACTCCAGGATCACCATGCCAGAGCCAAAGGTGGATGCGCCCAACCACTGAGCCACCTAGGTGTCCCTGTGAATTTCTGTTTTAAAGACATCTTATTGAATATATAATGTTGATTCATTAACATGGACTCTGAGCCAATTACACTATAGATTATTCCTGAATGAGCTTATCTAATATAAATATTTTATCTATAAAACACATCATGACCTTTTTATGCTTAGGAATACTAGATAGTACTTCAACACTGTGCTTGGGAGCCATTTTATTTTATTCTATTTTTTATTTTTATTTGTTTTAAAAGATTATTTATTTTAGAAAGAGAGTAAGAGACCAAGCTGGGAGAAGGGCAGAGGGAGAGGGAGAGAAAACCTCAAGCAGACTCCCTCCTTGAGCAGACTCCCCATTGAGCTTGGAGCCCAATTCAATGTGTGGCTCGATCCCAGGACCCTGAGATCATGACCTGAGCCAAAATCAAGAGTAGACTCTCATCTGACTGAGGTGCCCTGGAAGCCATTTTAAGTAGTGAAATCACCAACAAAAAAAGAGCACAAAAATGCAAAAACTTTGGCACTAAATAGACCTTGGAAAGAATACTTGGTTACAGTATGAAAGCTGAAACAAAAAGAGCAGAGCATCACTTTGTTCAGCCTCAGCTGGCAACATTCTTACCTGGTGACTCAAATTTCTCACAGCTCTGTACATGTCTGTAAATGACCATAAAAGCACCACAAGTGTTAATTTGGGGATTACAAATAAATTTTGCTGAATAGGCAAATTCACAGATAAGGAACATGGAATGTTGAGGATTGACTCTGAATGATATAATCTATTTAAGTGTACAAAGCAGTGTTTTTAGTATATTCAAAGTGTTGTGTAGAGTTTGCCACAATGAGTTTTAGAACAGTTTCATCATACCCTAAAAGTCCTTACTCATTAGCAGCCAATTCCTTTTTCCTCCACCCCTCAACCCTATGCAAACTACGAACCAATTTCTCTATAGTTGCCTTTTCTGGATATTTCATATAAACGGGACCACGGAATATATGGCCTTTTGTGACTGGCTTTTTTCACTTAGTGTAATGTTTTCAAAGTTCATTGACCTTGTAGCATATAGCAGTACTTTATCCCTATCATTAGATAACATTCCATGTTATACATATAGCACATTTTATTTATCCACTCATCAATTAATGGACATTTGGATTGTTTCTACTTCTTGGCTATTATGAATAATGTTGCTATGAATATTTGCGTACAAGTTTTTCTGTGGATATGTGTTTTCATTTCTCTTGAATATACTAAGGGGTGGAATTGCTGGGACATATGGTGACTCTATACTTAACCTTCTGAGGAACTGCCAAACTGTTTTCCAAAGTGGCTGCAGTATTTTTCATCCCTTCCAACAATGTATGAGTGTTCTAATTTCTTCACATCCTCACCAGCACTTATTATCTGCCTTTTTAATTATGGCTATATTAATGAGTGTGAAGTGGTATCTCGTGGTTTTGATTTACATTTCCCTGATGGTTAATGGGGAGCATCTTTTCATGTGCACATTGGCTATTTGTATATTTTTTCTTTGGAAAACCGCATATTAGATTATCTGCCCAATTTGTAATTGAGTTATTTGTCTTTTGTGAATTCTTACTAGATTTTACATGAATTGCAAATGTTTTCTCCCATTTGGTAGACTTTTGTTTTCTTGATGGTTTCCTTTGTAGCACAAAAGTTTTTAGTTTTAAAGAAGTCTAAGTTTACTTTTTATTTTGTTAATTGTGCTTTTGATGTCATATCTAAGAAACCACCTAATCCAGGATCATGAATATTTACTCATTAAGAATTTTATATCTCTCATATTTAGGTCTGTGATCCATTTGGAGTTGATTTTTATATATGTATATGGTAGGAATCAAATTTTATTCTCTTACATGTGGACATCCAGTTGTCCCAACATCATTTGTTAAAACGACTCTTCTTACCCATTGAGCACTCTTGCCAAAAATCAGTTGATTGTAAATATAATGGTTTATTTCTGAACTATCACACTGTTCCATTGATCTATAAGTCTATTCTTTTTTATTTTTTAAGCCTGTTTTTATGCCAGTACCATATCATCTTGATTACTGTAGTTTTGTAGTAAGTTTTGAGATTGGGAAGAGTGATTCCTCCAACTGTGTTCTGTTTCAAAACCATTTTAGCTATTCTGGGTCTCTTGCATTTGAATTTAAGGATCACTCTGTCAACTTCTATAAAAAAGTCATCTGAAATTTCAGTGTAGATTGCATTAAATCCGTTGATCAATTTGGAGAGTACTGCCATTCTATCAAGTCTTCCAACCCATGAACAGATGTCTTTTCATTCATTTAGACCTCCTTTAATTTCTTCCAACAATGTTTTGTAGGCTTCAGAGTATAACATTTACACTAACTTTGTTAACTTTAAGTAATTTTTTTGATGGCATTTTAAATGGATTTTTCCATTAATTTTATTTTCAGGTATAAAGAAGTACAATTGATTTTTTGTATGCTGATCTTATGTCCTGCCACTTTGCTAAAAGATACATAACTTTAAACTAAACAAAAAGTAATATTAAGGGCAACCTGGGTTGCTCAGTGGTTTAGTGCCACCTTCAGCCCAGGGTGTGATCCTGGAGTCCTGGGATCGAGTCCCACGTCAGGCTCCCTGCATGGAGCCTGCTTCTCCCTCTGCCTGTGTCTGTGCCTCTCTCTCATTCTCTCTCTCTCTCTCTCTCTCTCTCTCTCATGAATAAATAAATAAAATCTTTTAAAAAAAAGTAATATTAAGCTTACATTTCTAAAAGTTAGAGGTCATACTTTGACCAATAACAAAGTAGGTGTACCAAGTTATGTCATAAGGCTTTTCTAGTAACATGGGGGGTGGGAATTAGCTAGTTTTAATCACTCGATGTTATAATATTTTCAGATTCTTATTTGAACTCATACCCACCAAAAGAGTTATATAAATTGAAAATGATTAGATTTGAGATAATAAGGAATCTGGCTTTATATCCTGGATTCAGTCCTAAGCAAACTCAGATTTCAAGTGGCCACTTTAGAAGAACTTTTATTCTGAACTTTTTTTTTTTTTCTAATTTATTTGTGAGAGACACACAGAGAGGCAGACATAAGCAGAGGGAGCAACAGGCTCCCTGCAGGGAGCATGATGTAAAACTTGATCCTGGGACCCTGGGATCATGACCTGAGCCAAAGGGAGACACTCAACCACTGAGCCTAGGTGCCCCTCATTCTGAACATTGTGATTTGTTATTAATTGATCCATGTTTTTGACCTGAGTCATTTTCTTTAGTTTATTGGTTTTTATTTGCTTTATTCCTTCTGAATCTGTTTTTTTCATTCTTTTAAAATTTATTTTATTTTTTTATTTTTTATTTTTTTTAAATTTTTTATTTATTTATGATAGGTACACAGTGTGAGAGAGAGAGGCAGAGACACAGGCAGAGGGAGAAGCAGGCTCCATGCACCGGGAGCCTGACGTGGGATTTGACCCGGGTCTCCAGGATCGTGCCCTGGGCCAAACCGCTGCGCCACCCAGGGATCCCCTATTGATTTTTTATTTGTTTTTATCCAATTGAGGTTAAGGTTGAGGGAGAAAAGAATCAATTGGTGAAGCTATCAAAAGCATGTATAGGACTAACTTTTGGCAGTTTAGTCACTTTGTGTGACTGGACTTCTAACAGGTTTATGATGAATATCAATCAAGATTGAACACTGAATTCCAAACTCCCCAGACATTTCAGTCTGGAGTAGATCAAGAAGAAGACAAGAAAGAGGTATGTAATGATAATCGCTCTTGGACACCAGTATTTCTACTATAATAGTACATGTGAAATTGGGAATAATTTCTTGTGTTCTTGCACATTAAGAGCTAATACTGCAAATTCCATGGATAAAGGCAAAGAAGTTACTTGAATCATTGTAATGTGTTGAACTTTTTTTTTTTTTCAGGCTTCTAGGATTTAGGATACCTTGATGTAAGATCAGAGATCTGATCCTAGTGAATTTTTCCCATTAGTATGTATTTATCACAATAACTTAAAGGAAGAGTTTTAACTTATGACTTCCTTTTTATTTTTAAGATTTTATTTATTTATTCATGAGAGACACACAGAGACACAGGCAGAGGGAGAAGCAGGTTCCCTGAAGGGAGCCTGATGCAGGACTCGATCTCAGGACCCCGGGATCACACCCTGAGCCAAAGGCAAATAAATGCTCAGCCGCTGAGCCACCCAGGCATCCTGACTTCCTTTTTTTCCTCCTCAATCTAAAGTTAGCTAAACCAGCAGTTTTTAACACTGCCCATGTGCCAGAATCAGATGTGGAGCTTTTTTCGAAATACAAATGCCTGGACCCAAACAGATCTATTAGATCCGTATGTGCAAAGGTAGGTTTGGGGCATCTTGTGTTTTTAAAAAATACCACTGATGCTTGTGTTGGCCTCAGAATTAAGAATCAGCTATTATACTTTTAATAATTTTTACCAGAAGGACATAAGCTACTCAGAGGGCAAAACCATGTCTGTATGTACACTAGTGCCCTTTGAGTAGCTCGTGTCCTGCGAATGTATAAACCCTCAGGGCAATAGCACTTGCTTTTATTATATTTGTTTCTCCGCCCTTTTTTTAGAAGTGGGACAGAGGGAGAGGGAGAGAGAGAATCCCAAGCAGGTTCACGCCCAGCATGAGCCCAACATGGGGCTTGATCTTACAACTCTGAGATCATGACCTGAGCTATAATCAAGAGTAAGTCATTTAACCACCTAAACTATACAGAAGCCCCTATACTTGTTCCCTTTGAAAGTATGGTGCTCAGGTATTCCTCAGTCCTTCTTCCTTCTTCTTACTATATTAGGCTAGGCTTAGAGTTTACTTTTGTGTTGTAGTTTCAATTTTGAGAGGCACCTGGGTGGCTCAGTGGTTTGAGTGTCTGCCTTTGGCTCAGGTCATGATCCCAGAGTTCTGGGATCGAGTGCCACATCCGGCTCCCTGCAGGGAGCCTGTTTCTCTCTCTGCCTATGTCTCTGCTTCTCTCTCTGTGTCTCTCATGAATAAATAAATAAAATATTTTTTAAAAATTTCTTTTTGAAAATTTAAAGTGACTATTGTTTTTTTTTATAAAATACCTGTCACATTCTTTCCTTGGCCCTGCTTCTTTGGTACAGATTACTTGGGAACACAGAGTAAATATAGTAACATATCGTATCAAATACAGTTATCTCCTCAAGTGCTATTGACAAAGGACTATAGTGACGGCAAACTAAATTAGTACTTCTTTCTCTGATTTGTCTGTAATGTTTAATAGCTATGTGCTTGAGAATATAAAGCTCTTACTGTATGTGATATTATCCTAGGTCACCATGAAATGGAAGGAAGTTAAGGACTTAATTTCACATGACTTTTGTATCACATAGTATGTCTGTGGCACAGGCGTATTGTCCTTCCTTGGAAAGTCCTCTGAGAGCCAAATCTTAACCATTTTAACCTCTTCTTTAGCGTCAAAAGCAATACCTGAGATATAGACGACTTTTCATGGATATTGAGAGAGAACGAGTAAAAGAACAACAAAGGCAAAAAGAACATCAGAGGAAAGTTGAAAAGTAAGTTCTTTGATCCTTATTGTGAGCCTTAAATTACTAATTAGGATGATTATGAAAGCTAAGTTTTAAAAATAATCAGGCAAAAAAATAAAAAATAAAAACAATAAAAACAATCAGGCAGTGGTTTTATTTTTTGATCCTTAGTAGAAACAACTTTTTTCATATGGATAGAAGTATGAAAAGGTAATAAAGGGCTATGTTTGTTTGTTTTTTTTTAAGATTTTATTTATTCATGCGAGACACACAGAGAGAGAAGCAGGGACACAGGCAGAGGGATAAGTGGACTCCATGCAGGGAGCCTGATGTGGGACTCGATCCCAGGTCTCCAAGATCACACCTTGGGCTGAAGGCGGCGCTAAACCGCTAAGCCACCTGGGCTGCCCAGGGCTATGTTTTTTTAATAGACTTTTTTTTTTTTTTAACTGTTGTAAGTTTATAACAAAATTAAGCAGAAAGTACAGAGATTTTTATTTACCCCCTTGCAGTATACATGGTCTGCCCCCTCCACTGTCAACATCCTGCATCACAATGGTACAATTGTTACAACTGATAAACCTCCATTAGCACATTATAATCCATATTTTACTTTAGGATGCACTCTTGTTGTTATACATTCTTGTAGATTTTGACAAATATATAATGACATACCCACATAATATTAATATCATACAGATAAGTTTTACTGCCCTAAAAATGTTTTGTGTTCCAGCTATTCATCTTTCTTCTTCCCTCCCCCCAGCCCATGTCAACTACTGATCTTTTTGCTGTCTCCATTGTTTTTGCCATTTCCAGAATGTCATACAGTTGTTATACAATATGTAGTCTTCTCAAATTGTTTATCTTCCACTCACTAGTATACATTTAAGTTTCCTCTAATACCTTTTCATGGTTTGACAGCTCATTTCTTTTTAGTTCTGAGTAATATTCTATTATCTGGTTGTACCACAGTTTATCCAGTTACCTTCTGAAGGACTTCTTGTTTCTTTTCAAAGATATGGCAGTTATAAATAAAGATGTTTTAAATATCTATGTGCAAGATTCATGTGGGTGTATGTTTTCACGTCATTTTGGTAAATACCAAGTAGTATGTTTGCTGGATTATATGGTAAGAGTATGTTTACTTATGAAAAACTACCAAACTTTATTCCAAAGTACCATTTTGCATTTCTGTCAGCAATGAACAAAAGTTCCTGTTGCTTCATATCCTCTCCAGCATTTGGTGTTAGTGTTTTGGATTTCAGCCATTCTAACAGTTGTGTAATAGTATCCCATTGTTGTTTTAGTGTGCAATTCCCTAATAACATGATGTGGAACATGTTTTCATATGCATTTTCTTTGGTGAGGTGTCTGTTTAGGTCTTTGGCTCATTTTTTAATTGGGTTGTTTTCTTATTCTTGGAGTTTTAAGAGTTTTTTGTAGTTCTGGATAATTGTCCTTTACCAGTTTTTTTTTTTCATAAGTATTTCCCCTCATCTGTGGCTTTAATTCACATTCTTTTGACACTGTTTTTTGGAAAGCAGAAGGTTTTAATTTTAATGAAGTCCAGCTTGTAATTTTTTTTTATGTATCATGCCTTAGGTATATTATCTAAAAAATTATTGTCATACTCAAAGTCACCTAGATTTTTCTTTTTTTTCTTAAGATTTTTCTTATTTATTTGAGAGAGAGCATTGCGGTGGTAGAGGGAAGGTCAGAGGGAGAAGGACAAGCAGGCTGCCCCCTGAACAGGGAGTCCAATGTGGCTGTGTCCCAGGACTCTGAGATCGTGACCTGAGCTGAGGGCAGGCACTTAACCGACTGAGCCACCTAGGCACCCCTCACCTAGATTTTTTTGTGTGTTATCTCTTAAGAGTTTTATCATTTTGTGTTTTACACGTAGCTCTATGATCCATTTTGAGTTAATTTTTATAAGGCGTATAAGGTCTGTGTCTGGATTCATTTTTCTGCACATATTCATTTGTTCCTACCCCATTTGTTGAAAAGACTATCTCTGCTCTATTGTATTGGATTTGCTCCTTTTTCAAAGATCAGTTAACTATATTTATGTAGGTCTATTTCTGGGCTCTCTGTTCTATTCCACTGACCTATTTGTCAATTCTTTTGCCAATACCACACTGTCTTAAAAGAGAATTGATGCATGAGAGACTCACTTTAGCTTTAAGGACACATACAGGCTGAAAGTGAAGGGATGGAAAAAGATACTCCATGCAAATGAGCACCAAAATAGAGTGGGAGTGTCTATCCTTATATCAGACAAAATGGATTTTCAGTTGAAAGAGTCACAATAGACAAAGAAGGTCGTGTATAATGATAAAGGGGTAAATTAATCAAGATGATATAACAATTATATTTATGCACCCAATATCAGAGTATCTAAATGCAGTGCTCACTTTGGCAGCACATGTAGAGAGTACCTAAGCATGAACAAATCCAAATAGAACTGAAAATATCATACCTTAAACAATGGATAGATCATCCAGACAGAAAATTAATAAGGAAACATATGTTTTGAACAGCCCTATAGACCAAATGGGCCTAACAGACATATGCAGAACAATCTATTTAATAGCAGTAGAATACACATTCTTTTCAAGAACACAGAGAACATTCTTCAAGATTGATCATATGCCACTTTGGCCATGACACAAGTCTTTTTTTTTTTTTTTTTTTTTTTTTTTTTTTTATTCATAGAGACACAGAAAGAGAGAGAGGCAGAGACACAGGCAGAGGGAGAAATAGGCTCCACGCAGGGAGCCCGACATGAGACTCGATCTCAGGTCCTCAAGATCACATCCTGGGCTGCATGCGGCACTAAACCACTGCACTACCGGGGCTGCCCCCATGACACAAGTCTTAACAAATTCAGTGATACATTGAGTATAATACTCCATCAGTGTATCATACTGATTGAGTTGTAGTTGTTGAACCTTCCTTGCATCCTTGGAATAAATCCCACTTGATTCCAGTATAAGATCCTTTTAATGTAGTGTTGAATTCAGTTTGTTAGTATTTTGTTGAGACTTTTCACATCGATATTTGTCAGGGATACTGGACTGTAATTTTATTTTCTTATGGTGACCTCGTCTGGTTTTTGTATCAGGGTAGACCTTGCAATGAGTTGGAAAGTGTTCCTTCCTCTTCAGTTTTTGGAAGAATTTGGAAAGGACTGGTATTAATTTTTTAAATGTTTAGTAGAATTCACCAGTGAAGCCAGGTCCAGGGTTTTTGTTTAATGGGAAGTTTTTGATTACTGATTCAATCTCCTTACCTGCAGTTGGTCTGTTTAGATTTTTTATTTCTTCACATTTCAGTCTGGATATGTTGCATGTTTCTAGAAATTTATTTATTTGAGTCCTCTTTTTTTTTTTTCTCCTGGTTAAAATAACTAAGCATTTCAATTCTGTTTATCTTTTCAAAGAATCAACTCTTAGTATCATTGATCTCTACTTTTTTCCTGTTCTCTATATCATTTATTTCTGCTCTGATATTTATTATTTCCTTCCTTCTGGCTAACTTTGAGCTTAGATTGAAATTATATCCAGTTTCTTTTCCAAACACATTGGTATGTAAGTAGAAATTAGTAACGAGGAAAATTGGAAAATTCACAAATATATGAAAGTCCTGCATTAACAAAATGGAAGATAAAAATCATGTGATCATCTTAATAGATGCAGAAAAAGCATTTGACAAAATTCAATGTCCATTTTGGTAAAAACTCTCAAGAAACTGATATAGAGGGAATGTACCTCAACACAGTAAATCCCTACATGACAAGCCTACAGCTATTATACTCCACAGTGAAAAGCTGAAATCATGGGGTGCCTGGGTGGCTCAGTTGGTCAAGTATCCAACTCTTAGTTTTGGCTCAGTTCATGATTTCATGGCTCTTGAGATTGAGCCTCTGTAGGGCCCCACACTCACTGGGGATCTGCTTGAAGATTCTCTCTTTTTGCCCCCCCCCCCCTTACTTGCCCCTGTGCTCTTGTTCTCTCTCAAATCTTTTTTTCAAAAAAAGAAAAGCTGAAATCTTTTCCTTTAAGATCGGGAACAAGACAAGAATGCCCACTCTCCCTACTTATATTCAACTTTCTACTGGAAGTCCTAGCCAGAGCATTTAGGCAAGAAAAAGAAATAGAAGACATCCACATTGGAAATGAATAATCAAACTGTAACCATTTGCAGATGACAATATTATATATGGAAAATCTTAATAACTCCACAAAAACTTGTCCGAACTAATAAATGAATTTAGTAATTCCTGTATTTTGTAGGATACAAAATCAATTTACAAAAATCAGTTGTGTTTCTATATACTAACAATGAACTATCAGAAAGAGAAACTAAGAAAAAATCCTTTTTAAAAAAATTTTATTTATTCATGAAAGACAGAGAAAGAGTCAGGGACACACATAGGCAGAGGGAGAAGCAGGCTCCATGCAGGGAGCCCGACATGGGACTCGATCCCGGGTCTCCAGGATTGCTCCCTGGGCTGCAGGCAGGTGCTAAACCGCTGAGCCACCCAGGGATCCCCAAAAATAATCCTATTTACAAAACTTCAAAAAGAATGAAATACTTAGGAAAAAATTTAACCAAGGAAGTGAAAGATCTATATACTAAAAGCTAAAACATTGATGAAAGAAAGCAAAGATGACACAAATAAATGGAAAGATATTCCTATCTCAAAATTGGAAGAAATAATATTGGTAAAATGTTCATACTTTCTAAAGCAATATACAGAGTTAATGCAGTTCCTATCAAAGTTCTAGAGCAGAAACAGAAAAGACCATGCCAAATCTAAAATCTGCATGGAACCACAAAAGACCTTGAATAGTGAAAGAAATCTTTTTCTTTGAAGATTTATTGGTTTATTTTAGAGAGAGAGAAAGAGCACATATGCATGTAAAGGGTAAGGGGCAGAGGGAGAGAAAGAATCTCTAGCAGATTCCCCACTGAGTGCACCCCCGCCCCCAACATGGAGCTGGATCCCATAATCCTGAGAT